GCGCCATTGCTCCCATTACTAGATGGTGTGACCGAAGTTACAGATTTATCTAAGATCCAACTGATAATCATAACCGTCAACTGTAACGCAAGCCTATTTTTCAAAATTCGTCGTCCGTGGGATTCAAACTCTAGACCTGCCACTTGGAGAAGGTGACGACTAGAGCACTACACTAAGTCACCACACCTCTTATATATATATAAATATAAATATATATATATATATATATGTATATATATAAATATGTATATATATATAAATATATAAATATATATATATTGCGATATACAAGTAATATTGTAACAAACTAAACTTAAAAATCGTAAAAATAAATGCTTTAAAATTTACATACAAAATTTATTAACAACACACACTTAAGCATAAGATAAAGCCATATAAAAAACATATCGAATAACACTAGATAAAAAAATTCTGTATTAAATTAATACCATCTTCTGAAAAAAAATACAAAATATAATAGCTTAAAAACCCCATAACTCGAATGTGAATCAAAACACAAATACAAAATAACAATCGAAAAAACAAACAGAAAAAAAAAAAATGTAAAAATAAATAATTATCACAAAAAATAACAAACTCTATGTAAACTCGGTAAGTTATTATTACACATAACACACGATAAAACTATTCTATAACCTATTAAAAAACTATCAACTATACAATAAATAAACGTACATAAATAATAATAAGCAAACACATCCGGTCATAACTCAAAGATAAACATAACTGAAAATTTATTTACAATAAAAATAAAAATATAAGCAAATAAGAATCATCCAAATACTTAAATAGAAACAATATACTCAATATTCTTACTAACAATATCGCTAATTCAAGACTTATATGATTTCAGACCACTACGCAAAGAACGACCCACATAATCTTTTCCCTTCTTATCACCACAACTAGCATTTCTTGCACTATTCTTGCATTTTAATGCACCTTCAACCTCATTAGCCTGAACCTCACCAAAATTATTGACGACATCAGACTGAACATAATCATCATTATCTACAGAATCTAAAACATTAGTAGATTCGATAGACTCATTATCGTCTTCGACTCTAATACATTTAGAAGAATTACTATCAGACAATAATACACCATCAGTCAAAACCGCAGATGATAATCCCTCAACCTTAGAAATATCCTTAGAATCCTTAGAATTCTCATGAATATTTCGATGAGTAGAAAGAATTTTTGACCGAATCGTACTAACAACCTCTGTAGAACTACTAGAACCACTATCATCAAAATTTTTACGCTTTAAGAAACCAACATCAACAAAATTTACATCTTTTGCATAAACATAAAAATCATTATCAACGACCTCCATTTGGCCAACAACAAAAACAAGCGAATCGTGTGGACGAATAGTACTCTTCAAATGCGCAAGCCGAGAATTAGAATGCGGGAAAACAACTTTAACCATAAAATTATGATCTTGAATAGCATAATCATTAACCAATATATTAAAAATAGCATTTTCATCATTTTCTGGTACTTGGGGTAACTCTTGAGGAATACCAATCAAAGAAATTTTCAATGGACATTTATTCAACTGAGCAACCCGGTTAAGAACCGCTACTTTAGTTGAAATCGAAACAGTCATCTAATAATGAATAAAAGATAAGTAAAAATAACATTATAAAATTTATGACAATTAAAACTAATACCTTCGGCCTTTTATTACTACCATAAAATGCAGGGACGATCTTACCACCGACAGAATAAAAATGATCTCTCTCAAAAACAGCTTGAGTTTCAAAATCTCTTTCGTTAGAATTAGTTGACACAAATAACACCATCTCAATTTCGTAATCATCACGACCAACTGGGTATTCACCAAGAGCCCAAACGACAATCAAGTTACTCTCCTCTTTAATGCTCTGGCGAACAAGTTTAATCCTCACGATTGTATCAGCGTAACATGGCATAATTATCCAAAAAAAAAACAAACTTATATAAAGATAAATAATATATATATATATATATATATATATATAATATATAAATATATAAAAAATATTATTTGAAAAAAAGTTAGAAATGAACAAATACCCCCTTTATATAACTACCGTAAAAAAACTATACAAAAAAGCTAAACAAAACCTGCAACAAAAAAATATTAAATCACAAAAATTACAATCTAAAAAGCACTCAATAACGTACGCATTTAACACAATCATATTATCGCTATCAATCAAAATTACCCACATGAAAAATCATAATGACAAAAAAATCTTACAAAATTATAATAATACGTATAATTAACCACGCCAAACCAGTTAAAATTACTAATCATAGTGTCAAATTCATTAAATCATACCACAACAACAAAATTCTAATAAAACTCAAATATTACGAAGAAACACATCATAATGACTAAAATCTTACAAAAAGTAACAATTACAGATAAACCCATAATTATAACAAGCAAGTCACTAATCTAAAGCCGAACACCTATAACTCTTTACATTACCATTTACAAACAATTCATACAAAATATTCACACGCAAAAAATTACGACATTTTAAATAAACAAATAGAAATTATAATAACATACGCAACACTAAAAATTAAACATGAATTACAAATTATACTCCCAATAAAAAATTCACGTGAATTATTCATTTGTAACCACGATCAACAAACTTCACATGATTTATATTACCCACGTGATAAATATGCTAAGTACTAAAAAAAAAAATGAAAATAGCAATTTTTTCAAACAAAAATTATTAAAATATTAATTTAAAACAGTATTAAAACCAATATTACTAAAATA